ATCCTGATAAAATAGAGGCTTTGGAATTTATTATAACTACAGCAACATCAGCGTTTTGAATTCCTTTACCATTATGAAGAGCCTCATAAAGATCTTCTGCAGTCAATAAATTGTTTCCTGCGTCAACAAAACTCCTAATGACACATTTCGCTCCTGCTGACTCTCTATCACATTGATCTTTTCCACGCGAAGGCTCGTTGTAATCATACCTTTTAAGGAAAAATTGTTTTGCTTTGCAAACATTGTAAAGGGCTTCTAAGTAGAAGTTTCCATGATAAGATGATGCATTATCTGACTTAGCATAAAGATTCTTTAAATAAGGAAAATCATTTTTAACTTTGGCCAAAACAACATCAGCGAGACAGAGTACATCAACAAGGCTTTGCTCACATCTATATACAGCAGTAAAATACACTTTTTTTTTCATTCGACCATTTTCATAGAAGAAGAAGACATCAACATGTAGAGTCATTCCTTTTTTCCCAAAATATTCTTTTTGGCCTTCACGGAATTTAGCGGGCAATATTTTTTGACAAAAATCCTTTAGCCAAAATCCTGTTTCCTCATCAAGTTGCTCAAAAGCCATTATTTTGGCCATTTTTTGCTGCGCATCACGAATTTGATGTTTCATATAGGCTTCAACATCTTCTGTAGCCACATTTAAATCATATAGTAGATCTTCATCTTCACTTTGTATAACCAACTCACGAACCTGATTGATTACTGAAATGAGGCCAGTACAGTCAATGCATTGTTCATCGTCAGCGGTTATGTTTGATTGGTTTAAGTCCGGATCTATATCCGAAAGGGCAAATGAAGTTGAGTGACTATGCAAAGTTGAATTTTCACTACATTTGGAAGGATAATTACTCTTCAGATACCTTTTATTTTTTTCAAGAAACTTAGTAACATTTTTATATTTCCACTTCTCAGAAATGGCAATTAATGTTTGGAAACCGTTCATGTCAGCTGCTGTAACATCATCAAGACCAGCTAAAGATTTTCTTTGAGAAGGTTTTATTCCACAAAGAATTCTCCATAAAGAACTATCTGACATAGGGACATAATTAGTTTCTAGGCAAATTTTTTTATAAAATGTGATTGTATGGCTAAACTTCATCATCAAAATGGCATTAGCCACTTTTTGTTTCTCTCCGTTGTCAAACTTTATTTTATTTATACCATATGCTACATCTTGAAGCAGACCTCGAGAAAATAAAAATTCCAAAAAATATTCAATTTTTTCTTGAGGCATTCGGCATATTTTTACCTTACCCTTCTTTGGTATGGAAAGTCCAATGTTTTCTTTCTGCAACTTGCGTACTTTTTCTATTTGATGTTTTTTGCAATCAAAGACTTTCATTAAAGTCTCTTTAGTGTACTTATTATGATTAACAACTGAAAGCAAAAGAATTTTTCCTAAAGAATCGCTTTCTTGGAACATCTTAACTTGTACAATTAGGTCGTCTGGAACCATTTCAGTTGCAACATTTTCATCTTCACTGTTTAATACTTGGGTTATAAGTGCTTCTGATTGACCAGGTGCAATTGCTTTAGCAAATATCTTCTCGAGCTGCACTTTACATTTCTCAAATTTTTTTTTAACTTTCTGTTTAGTTCCTTGTGTTAAGTCTTCTATTCGCTTTTGCGTTATGTGAAAAGACAGTGGACTTGCTCCTAGTGCTTCACACAAAGAACTAGCTTTTAATTTTGATACTTTGATGGTCTTATCTGAAATGATTGCTAAATCTGGAACATAAACTTTATCAACATAAGAACTAGACTTTACTGTTGGAATTGGTTCTATCATGTCAATAATATTATCTATAGAAATAGTTTTTAGGTGCTTGAAGCAAAATACGGCTCCAATAGGTAGCGATGAATTACTTTTATTATAAGTAGCAAGGGTATTCAAAGGTATGGATATAATTTTTGGTGCTTTTTTACCAACTTGAAATATATGACTTGGGTATTGACATCTGTTTGGCGGCTTCCATCCAATACCAAAAGAAAAACGGTGGTATGCACATAACCAGTCGTCGCATGAAAGATAAGTTTGTAATCGACTTTCAATGAGAGTTTTTTCATTATACTGGTTTGTCTGCGGTAACTATAAAATAGTAATGTTAAATTTGTCATCTATTTGTTGGAGGTATTGTTGCTTATAATTAAAAATATATATATTAATTGATAAATTATACCTTTAGTACTTGTAAATGATTACTTATGTCAGCAGTTAATTCATTAATTTGAAAGATCCCATGTTGTTTCCAACGCTTAAAAGGGCCACAGTCTGTCCTTTATCAAAATACACGCATTTTTCATAGAGACTGACTATATTGTTGCTCTCTGACATTTTGTATTTAACTTTTATTTTTTATTTTATTATTTTTTATTGAATAAACAAAAGATAACAAAACAAAAAAACTTTATTTCGTAGTTTCTCATCTCATGCTATGGCTATTTATTAAATTCATGTGCTGATTCTTCGAGAAGAATGTGTCTCCAAGGAAATAGTCTTGCAATCATTAATAATTGTCTAAAGAAAGTATTACAAATGACTGCCCAAAGGGAATTGCTTGTGTAGCAATCATTACAGTCATTAAAAAAAGTATCTTTAATGTCACTTCCTTACTTTGGTTATTACACTTTTGCCATCGCATTCTTTGAACCTATTGTTGCGTATTTTGTTACATTAAAAAAGCTTAAAAAATAATTTTTATCAAGCACTTTTGTACAGTTTATACAGTTTTGTTATAAAAATGTATTTTTTATTTATTTTTAATTTGAGTACTAACTATTAAAGTGTAAAAGTAGCCGTTGCTAAGCATATCTATGTCGTTGCTAGGGTATTTTGTTGGTTAAGAATATTGCAAAATTAGATTATTTCTTGGACTTCTCTAGGCTTTTTATCGCTTGAGCACATGGATTTTTTTTCAGATATTGGAAGATGCATGTATAAGGTAACAAAATAACTTATACATTTCATGGCAGACCTAAGGCCACGATTGTTATTTGTAATCTAACAAAGCGTATTAACCGCGAAAATTCATTTTTGGAAGCTTACTCTTTCTCAGGCTCTTGCATACTCATAATTTTTTTTCTATAAATTCAATGTATACCTTATTGGCTTTCAAAAACAGTTAAGTAAATTATGTGCAAGTAATGGCCTTAGGAGATATAAATGGTCAAAGTACGGGTAAAATTTCAAATTTAGCGGTTTTGAACCGTGATTTCTAGACAACAAAAAGTGTAAACATTTTGAATTTTTATTTTAAGCAAAGAAATCCAGCTAGAGTAATAGAAAAAAGAAAAAGAAATGTGTTTCTCAAGTTAATATTGCTAAAATTGTCCCTAAAAGTAGTAATTCCATTTCATGCACCAATATTTTTACGAAATGGGCCAAATTTCGGCCCCCGATATCTCCGCAAATAATGGGAGTTTTCGAAAAAAAATTTAACTGTGGCCTAATTTCATTGTGTTTTATAAGATATCTGAAAATAAAGAGATTTTAAAGACATCACTTCCAGACTTTGCCTATCTTTCTCAGATAATGGCTCTTAAGTCTTTAATTGCTAAACTTTATATCTTATTTTGAGTCTTGCAACAACTTGAAATTCAATACTCTTGTTATACTGCTGACTTGTACCAGGAAATATTTTGTTGTGCATTAGATAAAAGCAGTGAGGCTACTTACTCTTCTTATTTCAAAGGTTTTCATCAAAGCTTGTCTTTTCCATAAGCAGAACAACCATATCAATTCTTATATGGTTTATCTGGAAAAAAAATTCAACTTATTGAATAATTTGATTCTAACCACAGTATTGGTATTGTCCTTAATGAGCAACACTCTAGAGTAACTTTTGGAGTACCACAACCACATACAATCCATTCTTGACAAAAGTCATCACTTTTTGATTGCTTAAAATAGGCAGGCTATCTTTAATCTGATCTCTTTTCTGTATCACCTAAAGGCTCAAAGTAGCCACCTAAAGGCTCAAAGTAGCCAGTAAATTTCAACCCCAACAAAATTACTGCTAATAACTATCATATTATTGTTGATACTTTTATATTGATGAGTTAGAACACTCTTACTGATTCCTCTACTCTGCGGCTTCTAACTTCTGTCCCATTGTTGTACGATTGCAATATTACTCTTTTTTACAAATACTGCCATTGTTGTTGCTCAAGTGAGATATTATCACTTGCTTTATCAACCAAAATTTTCTTGTGGCTGCTCATTTAGTTGTATTCTTTTACTGTAACTGTTCTTTCAAAATTTTGTTGGTCTTGTTTTTTTCTCAAACATTTATGCTTTGGAACTCTCTCCAATTTTCATGTTTTCTTTACTCATACAAGTTGTAGTTTTCTTTTTTTTTTCTGTTAATTAAAGGATCCAAAATCGTGTCAGGAGAATTCAAGAAAAAACTCTTTCAGAGTCAAGAAAATATCTTCTGTGGGCAGCTAGTTTAAATTTAAAAATTAATTAGTATTGAAATTTTCTTTAGACTTTTTGATATTCTTTTCATATTCAGTCCTCTAAATTTCCTCCCCATAATTAATAAACAGTTCTCCTTTAGTCTCTTCTTCAGTCTCTCCATCAGCTATACTTTTTTTTGGTTAGCCAAAATTCAATTGCAGTATTTTGTGACTCTTTTGAAATTTGTCTTTGAAATACTTTTATAAAAAGTAAATAAGTTCCTAAATGAATGAAAAATCTTTAACTTACAAAATTGGTATTTTATATAAAAAGACTGTTTCTATTAATTTAACTGAAAAATAAAAAAAGCAATAAAATTAGCTATTTTGAAAACTATTGTTTTAAAAAAAACTTTTTTTAAAACAATATTTTTAAATAAAAAATATTTAATTAAAATACTTTTTTTGAAAACTTTTGTTTTAAATAAAAAGTGATTTCTTGAAAAGTTATCAAGATTAGAAGAAGTTCTAATCAAAGTATTAAATCCAAAGCAATTGATTTTAATGATTATTTATTTTAGATTCAGAAAGTTTAAATGAATATTTCACAATAGAAGATTGGAAACCTAAAATGATTTTTTTTGTTCATAAAGTATTTGCAGAGTTAAGGTAAAATCTAATTTAAAATGTGTCATTATAATTTAAAACATGTCATTATAATTTAAAACGTGTCATTATAATTTAAAACGTGTCATTATAATTTAAAATGTGTCATTATAATTTAAAATGTGTCATTATAATTTAAAACGTTTCATTATAATTTAAAACGTGTCATTATAATTTAAAACGTGTCATTATAATTTAAAACGTGTCATTATAATTTAAAATTATATTAATTATATTATAAAAAGTATTTCCTTATTTTATACAGGATATCAGAACTTTTTGAAATTATTGTTGAATATCCTGATTCATTACCAGCGATTAATGATTTAAAGGTGACTTTTGCTTTTTATCTTGAATTACTGATATGATTGTATACCTTTAATAAATGTTTTAATTAAGTTTAGTATTTAGGTTGTTTTTTTTTGTTGTTTTTTTCCATATTCACATATCTAAAATTAAAGGGGCTACAATTAATGACTTTTTTCTTTTAGTACAAACATAGACTGAGGATTTAAGGTTAGGCGGATACTATCTAATTATGAATAACTGTTATTTTGGGAAAAAAAAAATCAGTTTTTTTTCATTATTCTTTTTTTTTTTTTCTCATTTTCTAGAAATATGGCTGATATTTAAGAACTATGCCATATATATTTGTACAGTGCCAAATTTAACCAGCAAAAGCAATTGAGTATATATATATATATATACATATATATATATATATATATATATATATATATATATATATATATATATATATATATATATATATATATATATATATATATATATATATATATATATATATATATATATATATATAACATGCATATTTATATATACATACATATATATATATATATATATATATATATATATATATATATATATATATATATATATATATATATATATATATATATATATATATATAACATGCATATTTATATATACATATATAAAAAACTGCCAGACTTTCAGTCAAAATTAAAATGTGAAAATTTATTCAAAAAACTTACTGTTACAGATTTAGTGTACTAGATAATAAATTCTGTTTCAATACATTATAACATTAAAGAGCACTCCTCCATTACTGAAATTAATTTTGAAAAATTTTCTAAATTTTATTTTTAGTTTAGCCTAATATATTTAGTAAATAATTTTATTTATTACTTTTATATAAATACTTTTCTTTACATAAAGGTATATTAAGCTTAGCTTAACATTTAGTAAATAAAAGTATAATACTAGTGATGTAGACTGGAAAGAGTTTTGTATGTGGTTGTCCAGTATGTTACATTGAAAAAAGTGCCAAATCTACATCGCTATCTGAAGTCACCATCTGAATGCAAAATATCAAACTCAATATATATGGTGTTTGCGATAAAAATGTTATGATTTTTCCTAATGTTATATGTTATTGTAAACAAAATTTATATCTTATTAAGAGTGGCTATTCTTTATTATATAGGCTTATAGTTAACGACATAAAGACCGCATTAACATTAGTTGAGTTCTTTAAAAAAATACAATTTTTAAATACAAAAGTATTATTTCCATTTTATTGTTAGTAGAATTAGGATAATAATATAACAGAAAATATAAAGAATAAAAAATAGCTATAACAGCCTAGGTCTATTAACATAAAACATAGTAACAATAGGATATAGCATAAAATATTTGTAAGCGCACATTACTGTCTCCAGAGTAATTAAAAAAGATAAGATTATAAAAAGGTTAGACAACACAATTTAGTAGCACTGGCAAATAACACCATAACTTAATAAGATATTTTATCAACTAAATTACTTGGACTGAAAAGATTTTATTTATTGAACAATCTATAAGCTCATCAAAAATGCTTTAGTTATTGACTTGACCAAATAATGAAGGTTACAAATTTTATTGCATCTAGATTACTTAATTCAAATTAAATTGAGATCTAATAGGAACCAAAATGTTTTTTTTTTTATTTCATTTATTTTAGGCTCATATCATAAACTATTTTACGGCTAGTTAAAGGCTTTAAAGGCATATCATAAACTATTTTACGGCTAGTTAAAGGCTTTAAAGGCATAATTCGTCATTGAATAACTATAATTGTCAATTATTATACAATTTGAACAATTTTCTTTATTATATCATAAAATAGCAAGCAACTTGTAAAATATTACTCATAAATGTTTAATCTTTCCAATTGCACTAAAAAATAAAACAAAGCTTGCTTATCTAAGTTGCCTAGTTCTTAAGAATATGAAAACAGATAATTAAAAAACCAAGAACAAACAACATTTATTTATTATAACTTTTTTTTATTTATTTAAACAAATTAAATTAAACAAAGAGCAATATCAATTCTCCTTAAAGGCTAAGAAAAGGAGTAATTATTAGAAGATGTTTTAAAAAAATTCATAAAAATTTACAATAATTTGTTCTTGTATATCGCATAAATCCATCACATGATAAATCTAAAATGAAAAAATGTAACAAATAAGTAAATACAAAGAAAATCATCATATATGAATTGAAAATCAACGTATCTGATAGAGATAAAATGTCATGATAAGAGAGTAGTAGTCATTAAATATTATTATTTCATGTTAGCTTTTAGAAAACAATTTATGTTGGTATGTCATGATTCTAAAAATTTAAATTGAGATATAAACAATATGTATATATGGCAAAATGATTTTTCTTTAATGGCTATTTGTGAATAATTGAATGCAGTGAGTTCTATTAATAAAACCACCTATTAATCATCTTTAAAAATAAACACCAACATAAAGGTAAGCCAAATGTAACAACATTAGTAACATAAGTAACCTTACGCAAAATCTTGCTCTACAAGTTTGCTAAGTCACGCACTTTGAAAACCTGGAAACAACATAAAATAAATATATTTACTACTATAAAGCACAATATATTTATTCAACTTTATATAAGTTATATAAACACCTCATATAACAATTGTATACGCAATAGATAAAATACATTTTATACTATTATAAAAACACATTTATAAAACAATTATATAACCACATATTATCACATACACATATTTATCAGAAACTTTTTAACTTTGAACATAATATAGACATATATGCAAACTGAATAAAATAAATATATATATATATATATATATATATATATATATATATATATATATATATATATATATTCATATATAAAGACACATTCTTATAATAGAATATCTATTTATAACCATATTTGATTTAAATCAAATACTTATTGAATAAAGAACAATAAAGCAGATAGAAGAACTGCAATCCTTATAACAAAATTTAACCTTTACAAACTATAAAATGTCATAGTCGGCTCGAAATTTTAATTTATTTTTCTAAATTTTCTAATTTACAAAAAATGTTAGTAGCATCACAGAAATGTCAATAAAATAATAATCAACATAATGAAATAAGCAAGGTATGAATTGTTAGGGTTCAATGTATATTTGAATTATATTAATTTAGAACTTCTTAAAACTTTTTTTTAAAATAAATTTAAAAGTGGTAATAAACAATTTTTTGATAAAGTTTTAGAATTCTTTTAGTGCAAAAAAGTGCATAAAAATAGTTAGGCTGTATCCATACCCTAATTTCTTTCTAAAAAATAAAATATAAGCTCAATAAAAAAAAAATCTGCTAAAAAAAACCAAGAGTAAAGCTAAAAGAAAAAAATATAAACCATTAAAACAAATTAGAAGTTGTGATCCCTTCTACTATCTTTCTTTTTATCTAATAAAAATGTAATATTTAGTTTTCTAAACTGTTTTTTATACTTACCTTTTTTATAATACGATCTTAAAATTGCTATTATAATTTCTCTGATAAATAATAGTTAAGATCCAAAAAGTTAAAAGTTTCAACTTGATTGGTAGATATTTCTTGAATGACCGTGTGTATATTAAGAACGCGCTCTTTCATGTTAAGAAAAGCCTAGTAATTAAAACTGTTTTAAAAACAAAACTGAAACTGCACTACTACTATTAAATTATAGTATTAATATTAGGATGGAAAAAAATTTGTACTTAGCAACTCGCCTTTGAAGGAGAACTAAAGAAAAATAATAAAAATTAAAACAGAAACTTAACCAACAATTAAAGTTAAAAATTAAAAATTAAAAAACCGAAAATTAATTAATTTTAATAATAATAGGCTAATATTTAATAAAACAGTCTTGTCTAATCTTTATTATAATCTTTATAATTTATATATTATATATATATATTTATATATATATATATATATATATATATATATATATATATATATATATATATATATATATATATATATATATATATTTTATATATATATATATATATATATACATATATATATATATATATATATACATATATATATATATATATATACATATATATATATATATATATATATATATATATATATATATATATATATATATATATATATATATATATATATATATATATATTGGGTTGTAACATAAGTTCGTAGAGTTTTGCGTTTTTAGCAAAACTCTACAAACTTTTGTTTTGTTTTTTAGCAAAGTGTATACATTCATTCGAAAGAGTTCTTTCTTGTCTACAAAACGGTTTTATTTGTTTTTTTGGATAATTTAAATGTTCGTCTTTTTTCTGGCTCAGAAATGGAATACCCAGTAGGAAAAAATCAGCATTTTTGACATCTGCTTTTCTTTGCTTTTCATCGAAGTCAAAAAGCAGCCGAAGCTGCTCGGGACATATGCACTGTGTATGGGGAAGGTGTCTTAGGTGTGCCTACTGCATAAAAATGGTTCGCAATGTTAAAAATGGTGACTTTGACCTTGAAGACACGCCTCAAAGCAGACAACCTGCAGAATTCAACGAAGAGCATCTGAAGGCACTATTGAAAGAAGATGGTCGCCAAACAACTCGTGACAATCTCCAAACAACTCGTGACAATCTCTCGCCACCTTCAATTAATTAATTGAAGGTGGCGAGAGATTGTCATTTTTTACTCAAAAACTCAAAGCATGGGTACCTAACGAGCTCAACGAAGAAAACAAAGAAAAACGCCTTCAAATTGCTGCTCAACATCTCGCCCGCCACCGAGCAACACATGGACACAAACAGCGCTTTTTGTATTGAATCATCACGGGAGATGAAAAATGGTGTGTGTACGTCAATGTGAAGCAAAGAAAGGAGTGGGTGGCCCCAGGAGAGGCGCCGAGAGTTAAGCAAGATCTTCACCCAAAAAAGGCCATGATCTGCATTTGGTGGGACTGGGAAGGCATGGTACACTGGGAAATGCTCGAACGAAACACCACTGTCAACAAGGAGGTCTACATTGCCCAGCTGAACCGTGTAAATGAGGCTATTTGGCTGAAAAACCTAATAGACAAGGTCAAGTCATCTTGCTCCACGACAATGCCAGGCCCCATATTGCCCAAGTCGTCAAAACAGCACTCCAAGAGCTTAAATGGGAGGTTCTTCAGCATCCACCATACTCTCCAAATCTTGCACCTACCGACTATCACCTTTTCCGCTCTCTATCAAACCAATTGAGGGGTGTTACCTTTGATGGCAAAGAGGATCTTAAAAACTGGCTCAACAACTTCTTCGACACCAGGCCGACCGATTTTTGGCGAAACGGCATCAACAAATTGGTTGAGAGATGGGAGGAGGTCGTAAACAGTAACGGAGAATATATCATTGATTAATTTATTATTATAATTATTTTTTTTGTTCAAATAAATCTTTATGAAAAAACTCTACGAACTTATGTTACAACCCAATAAATATATATATATATATATATATATATATATATATATATATATATATATATATATATATATATATATATATATATATATATATATATATATAACAATTGAAGATATTCATATATAATCAACAATAAAAGATATCTTTATTATTTATATTGGTATATACTATATATTACTTAATACTTCATTGCTATCTAAAAAAATTAACACGCTTCTATTAAGTTTTGAAAATGTTTTACCCAAGTGAAAAATTATTAAAAGAAAATTATTCAGTTACCAGATAACGAAGTCGGCTATGCTAAATAAAAAAGATATTTATTGATTATTTTTTATTAAATAAAAAAGTAACAAATCCCAAAATGACAAAATTTATTAAAATGGTTTATACAAAAATAGAACAAACATAGTGAAATTTAATCCAAAAAAAGGAAAGAAAAAAAGCTTACTGCTCTCAAATCTACAAAAATTTCCAACTTACTTTTTTTTATCTATATTTGTCTATATTAAAAAATGAATTAATAAGTTACCATAACTTAACATTGGTCCAGATGAAGCAACTAAAATAAATTATCAAATAAAAAGCTAATTTATACAATCCTGATAATAATGTTGAAATAAATATTTATTGCTTTCAAATTTAAGTAACAAATGTAATTCAAGTATCAAATCAAAATAAATGTACTAAGTTACCTGAAGTGGGTACTGAAGTTATAACTAAATAAAAAAAAATCTTAAAAAAAATTATTATATTGTTTTTGATTTTAAATGTGCTAATCTATTATTTGGTCTTAAATCACAGGCAGTTGAAAACCTTGCTTCATAGTGTAGTGCTGAATGTACAGATAGTGATCTTGATTCCTGTTATGAGGATTTAAAAAAAATGGATCCTTCAGGTCTTCCATGAAGGAGTTTAATAATATTAGGGATAAATATCTAATCTTAACACTGATATAAATGCTTTGCTAGAAAACTTAGTTACTCTTTTATTGGAGTATTAAGCAAAATAAATGGATTTATTTGTATTTATTGAGTGGAATGATTTTTAGTTATAGTTAAAAAACTATATAATAAAAAGAGTGTTGGATGGGAGGAGTCAAATAAAATTTTAGGATTGATTGATGAGCTTTATTTTGAAATGGAAATTTAAGTGTCTACTTTTTTTTCAAATGATTTCATTCTCAGCAAGGCGCCAAACAACCACTATTTAAACTTAAATTAAGGAGCAAGAAAGCATTTAACAGAAGTCTTAAAAGCTGCAAATTGAATGAGTTAGGAAAACTTAAAGATTAGAGAGTAAAGTGCCATTGTTCAAAAATAAAAGCTAGATAAAAAAAGTTGCAATAAAATGATGCAATTTAGCTAAATAAAAAGTCAATCGAGATTGAGTTTGGTTAGTTGAACAAGTGATAATAGGTTGCTTGAGCAGCGACCATGTTATTTGTAAAAAAGAGAAAAGAAAAGCTTCATTTCATTCACATTTTATATACTCCAAGAAAAGCCTTATATTCCAATTCACATTTTATATATTCCATAATATAAAATTCTATACTAATATTCCATACAAGTAGGAATAAAAGAGGTAGAGAAAGGAATCTGGAAAAAGAAAATGGTCACTGCATATAGAGAAGTAACTTGAATGGTGAGCTCAATGTAGACAGTGCAATACAACAGATATGATAAGAGAAAATAAGAGAAGACATAAAGTCAGCAGATGAAAAGTTACTTTGAAGACCACAAATATTTTAGAGGATAAATTGAAATGATGTTGGTAATGTAATATTTTTTTAGGTTTTTTTAGGTTTGTAGGTAATTGCAGGTTTGTAGGTAATTGTAGGTTTTTATTCATTTTAATAATAAGAAAACTTCATGTAGATAGAACATGACACCCTAAGCGATAATCTATGCTGTTGCTTATATTAAAGCTTTTAGCTCATTAGCCCAAAGTTTTAATATAGGGCTCTTTATGTAAATATGAAATTTATGAATTTTTAAATCTGTAAAAAAGGCTTGTTTTGAAAGAGATACAAAGGTGACAAATACTATGGAGGTAAATTGAATAATGCTTAGTATAAAATAGTTATAATTAATAAAAAAATTTTATTTTATTTTATTGCAAAATAAACATTAATGAAATATGTATTTTTTTAAATATATATATATATATATATATATATATATATATATATCCTTATAGTGTAGTCGAAAGAGACTTTTATGGTAAAAAAGTCTCTTTCGACTACAATTTTTTTACCTTGTCTCTTAAGCTGCATTTTAACTTAACTGCATTGTCGTCGAAATGTCAAAGCAATTAAATTAATGCGGAAGTACATTAAGTTTTAATGTTTTTTAAAAAAACCGCAATAATAATGACTAAAAAGTTTTTTTAATTAGTAGTGTTTTTGTTTTTGTTTTACTAAAAAACATCTTTAAAACATGCGTAAGTGTTGCTACATCGACTATCTTATAGCCTGCTGCTACAAGGGACTGTTGCTACATCGACTATCTTATAGCCTGACTCGCAATGGAGTGCTGCTACATCGACTGACAAATAGCTTGACTTGCAAGGGAGTGCAGCTACATCGACTGACAAATAGCCTGACTCGCAAGGGAGTGCTGCTACATCGACTGAGTGTTTGGTTTATATTATATATATATATATATATATATATATATATATATATATATATATATATATATATATATATATATATATATATATATATATATATATATATATATATATATATATATATATATATATATATATATATATTATATATATATATATGTATATATATATATATATATATATATATATATATATATATGTATATATATTTATTTATTTATATATATTAACTTGTTTGTTATTAGTTTATTTACATAAATTTTTGAAATAAATAAAATATTTTTATATCAAAAAAAATTTGTTTGATTGAACACTCCCCTTTAGAAGTACCACACTTAACCTGTTTCTTTGCACAGTCTCCTTGTTTATCAAAGTTTGTGTTTCAGAATTTAGAGTTACAAACAACATTTAAAAAAAAAAAAAGAATTGCCTTCTTGATTGCTGTTGAGAAAGGCAACTCGGGAGATGAATTGAGTTTAAAAAAAAATGAATAATTAAAAAATTATCTGAAATTTATCAATTTCAATTTGAAATTTTAATTTTTTACCTATGTATTTTTAATTTTAAAATGTTTTATAGAACTGCATTTACATAACACAGACTCGTCAATATCTCACAGAATCTTTAAAAAAAGCGTATGTTATTTTTGTTAATATATTTATAATTAACTATATAAAAAAGATAAAACTTCAGAAAATTTTTCATTTCAAAATGCTTCTTTTATTTTTTTGGTTAACTAGATTTGAAAATCGTCTTTTACATCCTGCTGTAAATACAGATGATATTTTAACTCAATATGTCTCTACTATTCGTACTCTGCGAGAACTGGATCCAGCTGGTGTAATTTTGGAGAATGTGTGTGCACCATTAAGAGAATACTTGAGGTTAGAAAAAAAATTGTTTAAAGTTGTGTTATATTTTATATGTAATTAATATTCAAAATAATCTTTTAATTTTATTTAACATGATTGAAGTTGCTATTAACTATTGTGAATATTAAATTTATTTTATACTTACTGTAATTATAAATATATAAATGTTTGGAGTTTGCTCCATTTTTATCTTAAACAGCAAAAAAAAAAAAAAAAATGTATATATAAGGGTGCATCAAATTCTATTTACTTTCAAAAAACGATCTTTAAAATTTTCTTGGATTTGTAAATGGATTTAGAGGGGCCACCTTAAGCCTGAATATTGCAACAAAATCTAAATGCCAAAGAAGAAATGTTTTTAAAAAGTCATGTTGGTCTCAAAACAAACAAAATTTTATATACATTTCAAAAATCATAATTATTTAAAAAAAAAAAATTTTTTTGAATGATTTTATTATTTTTAATTAAAATTTTTTATAAAAGAAATAAGCTAGTTTTTCATCCATTTTATTAATTTTTTTTTTCAAGATGTTTTTAATAAAAAAAGATTATTATATTTATGTATATTGTGAAAATTGTAATTTCATTTATGATACCCTTCAAATTGCTACAATACCTTACTAAGTTTATACTGTAAAATATAAGTTTGATTGGTTTATGATTAGAGGTTGCTTTCGAATTTAAAAAATTAAATGTTTAGAAAGTATTTAAAAAAATAAACGATTCAATATTAACTAAATACCAGATACCAGATTAGTTATTTACTTCAAAAATATTCATTAAAGAACATTAAAGATAAGTAAAAAAGTTAAAATTCTGGTTTCAATACTAATGTATTACTATCTGCCTGAAAGTATGAAGCGTTAAAATGTTTTAAAATTTGTTTAAAGTTTACCGTTTAAAATTTCAAGTTCACTGTTTAAAGTTTATTGATTGAGTCCAGTCAGCAGCAAAGATTTTTCGACAAAATTAGTTCTGTGTTCTGAGGTGACCTATTTCTTCTCAACAAAATTTCACTCCAGCAACCTTCAGCATGACAGCAAGTATTTGATGTTGTTGTATCAAAACACATGACTTTCACTCTGCCCTATATTTGCCATTCTATTAGTACATTAATACAGCCTTGCTCATTTCTTCATTTTTTCTAGTAAAAAATACTGCATAAGTATGTTTTACACACTTTTAAGTATACAAAATATTATCTACAAAATTTTTTGCTTTGGCAAGGTAGTTTTTAGTTAGACTTTAAGGATGGTGAATTCAATGTTTAATATAATAATATTTATAATGCTATTTGATAGAGTCAGTTTCATAATAATGTCTTTGTTTTTATTTTTTCTTCTCATATCTTTTTGTTTGTATTTTTGCTCAACATTTAATGTTTATATTAACATTTAATGTTAAATAAAAAACATATTTTTTCTATATTAGAAATAGAGAAGACACAATTAAATGTATCATAACATGTATAACTGATGAAGAATCTGGTCCTGATTTAGTTGAGGTTTCATTTATTTATATGCTATTTTTATTTTGTTGTTTTAAGAGTTTATTAACTTATTTGAGAAATTGTATTTATATTGAAGATTATGATTCTATACTTGCAAATAGTAACTCCAAAAGTTGCTTTTAATAATACTCATTAACTTGGTAATAAATGTTGAATCAACTTACAAAAACTTTCTTAGCTTGTTTAATGTTCGTCTTGTTCTAAGCAAACAGAACACTATTGTTTTATATGTTTTATACACTATTATTTGTTATATAATAATATTATGTTATTAATATAATGTAATATAATTATATAATAATATAATGTTATATATTGTTTTATACACTATTGTCATTAAGCAAACAGAACACTATTGTTTTATATGTTTTTAACATTTATAAAGTATTTAAAGAAAAAAATTGAATTTTACTGACAATAACTTACAAAATGCAATTAATATTTATAATACAATTAAGCTCTTCTATAGAATAATTTTATTTAAAAATTTCAATTTTAGTTTCAATTTAAATTGTTAAAAGTAAAAAGTTAACTTCAAAAATTAACTTGAGATAAAAAATATTTAGGTTAACTTAAAGTTTTAAGAAGAAAAATTTGAAGAATTTTGTATTCTACTTTATAAAAATATTTATTTGCATAAATTTTTTTTAAGTTCAAAAAAAATTTTTTAGGAACTTATAAGCTCTGATGTGGGGGGTGAATATAACTCAGATCATGAATCAGATGGTGAAGATTGGGTACCTGATCCGATTGATGCAAAAACTGGTAAACTTTTTAAAAAAATACAGCACAAATGCAAATTTTTTTTCTTACATATAGTAATAATAAGTATATTTCATATAGTAATAACAAAAGCTAAATTAAAGTCTAAATTTGATTATAAGTTATTCTGCAACATATGTGTCGAATTGTGTGGTTGACAGCTTTTTTTTAAGTTAAAATAGTTTCAAAAATGCGTAATTTCTTAATCAAACATTGAAAATTTTTGTAGTTATGAACTGTCTATTTTATAGTTTTTAATAGCAATTTTGATTTAGTTATTTACTTAGTTATTAAGATAATTTAACATGTGAACTGTTTTACAGGTCTGCTTGCTATAAGTTAAAAACAATATTTATGTTTTTATAATTTTTTTTGTGTATGCATGTGCATTATTTCTAAATTTTCTTATCATATATAATATTTTTATATATTATATTATAATACTTTTAGATTTATCTTCAAGAAAGCAAAGAACTGCTGATATAATTAATATACTTGTAAATGTTTATGGTAGCCAGGACATGTTTGTTTCTCAGTATAGAATTTTGTTGGCTGATCGAATTTTAACAAATTTTAATTATTCTGTCAGTAATGAGGTAATGTCAGTATTTTTAAAAAATAACTTGAGCTAGAAAGGAAAAATTATCCTTAAACACCAGTTTGAACCTTCCTATTTCTACTATTCTGAAGTACGAAAAAAAAAAAACGTTTTTGTAGTTCTTGTATTTTTTTTTTTATAAGCTTACAACTCAAAAAATTCAATTATCTTTTTTTTTTTTTTTGGATGAGGAAAGTATTTAAGTTTGACTAACCAGTATTTAAATTTTAGTTCTAAACAGAAACTTATTAATTAAATGATTTCAGAAATAGAGTGTTAAAGTTTCAGATAAAAAACAATACAGGGGTTGTGCTCTAGCTTAAAGCTCTAGCTACAGGGGTTGTGCTTTAATCTAATCAAAACAATTATAAGTACCGTAAAACAAGGTGACTTTGGCTAATTTATAAAAAATAGTTTTAACTTTTAAAAACTACTTTGTAGTTCTGCGGCTTTTTACAAATTTAAGTTTATCACAAAAGTAAAGTTATTTTGTTTATGTATTACTTAGATTAATTGTAGTTTGCAGAACTATAAATATATATTTTTTTTAGTTTATTTGAGTCTATAAAAATTGTTAAATTTATATGCTGAGTTGGTTGAAACTGCTGGTAATATTTGAGTGGGTTGTGATGTTATAACTTATTGTAAATTTAAATAGGATGAGTTTTGTACAGTAGTTGCCAAATTTATAACTCTTCTAATTAAAAAGAGCTTTAAGTAAAATTTATGGGGTGGCTTTGGCCACAACTTGGGGTGACTTTAACCTAAGTGAAAAAATGTAATTATTTGACTTTTAATGTTATATTTTTTATTTATTTTTCAAAAAATGTTGTCTATAGATATAATTTTATTACTTTAGTTTTCAATTTTTGCTGTTAGGACAAAATATTAATTATTAATCATATTTATATCGAAGAAAACATGCCAAGAACATAAAAACGTGTTGCTGTCAGTTGTGGTTATATTCCATACATCCAGGAAACATTAACCAAATGTTTAAAAGAAGTAAGAAGTGGTAATTTAACACAAACAGATGCTTGCTTAACCTTTAAAATTCCTTTATCAACAATAAAGAATAAACTGAAAGATATACATAATAAAAAGCAGGTGGTTGTACAATATTTAGTGAAATTGAAGAAGAAATTTTTGCAAACTATGTTATAACTATGTCTTCTTTTGGATTCCCAGTTGACTGTTATGATTTACAAAGTATTGTGAAGTCTTATGCAGACCATAAAGGAATGTTTATTAGGCAATTTGCAGTAAATATGCCTGGTTAAATGGGTAAAATCATTCCTTAAGAGAAATAAACAGTTAAGTGTTGGATTTGCAAGTAACATTAAAAGATATGTTATTTAGGAAGTCTATGCTAGATAGACTTCCTAAAAAAACATTTACAAATGAAGATGTCACTGTAAAATTGGTTCTCTTGTCAGTGATTCTTTCATACAAAATTTAGTTAAAGCTAGTGGTGATGATCATATACCCCCTAATAAAAAGCAACATAAAGTCTCTGTTGTCCCAGGAAAAAGTGTACCATCAATTGATTTAGTTAATATGCAAGCAGCTATAAATACAAATAAGACAAAGAAAAAAATGACTGTTGTAAAAAAAACCAAGGTATCCACTCTTGAATAGCAAATAATTACAGATAATCTATTGAATAACTCTAGCACTGATAGTTTGATGATTGATGCATAGTTTTTTAAGTTTTAAATATTAATATGATTTCTTTGTGATTTATATCTTGAATAAATTTGTTAGTTTCGAGCTGTTGTTTTTAATATTTTTTTGCCTTAAAAACATATCTAATATCCATGTATCTGTGACTATTTAAAATATGAAATGATTAATCAATAATTATAATTTCCTTTTAAGTCACCACCACTATAGGGGTGACTTTGACTCCCCCTTAAAATTAAAAAAAGGGTTAAAGATATAATTTCTTTATTTTTTATTTTAATTATTTATTTATTTGACATCATGCACACTTAATGCAATTTATATCAACATATTAATCATTAATAATTAAATTTTGAAAAAAAATAAAAATTTTAATTGGCCAAAGTCACCTCATTTTACGGTAATTTTGATGTTGTCAGAAAGATAAATCTGTCTGTTTGTTTAGAAAATCCTTGTTAAACATTATTTAAAAATTTAAATTTAAAATTTAACTACTTGATCAAAAAAAACCACTACAGTATCGCTATAGCTACAGTATCACTATAGCTACAGTATCACTATGGCTACAGTATCACTATAGCTACAGTATCACTATAGCTACAGTATCACTATAGCTACAGTATCACTACAGCTACAGCATCACTATATCTACAGTATCACTATAGCTACAGTATCACTATAGCTAAAGTATCACTATAGCTACAGTATCACTATAGGTACAGTATCACTATAGCTAATTGATTTGGTTATTATAAAATCATAAATGATTTGGTTATTACAAAATCATTAAGGTTTACAATAGTTTAACCATAGTTTAGGGAGAAGGCAGAAAATACTTGTAAAGCTAAGTAAACATTTGTTTAAATTTAAGTGTTTCAAAAAGGTTTGTGGTAATAAATACACAGTTAAGTTTTCACAATTCTAGATGTTTATATGCTACATGTAAGTTTTATTTGTTATATCTTCTATTTATTATTTTTTTATTGTTTTTAATTATTTAATTATTTTTTTACAGAGACGATACTTAGAGTTATTGAAACGAAGATTTGGTGAAAATCATTTACACTTTTGTGATATAATGTTAAAAGATATCCAAGATTCACAGAGAATTAATAGATTAATTAAAGATGATGCTTCAAAGCAATGTGCAATTGAGCAACAGGTTATCTAATTTTAAATAAACAACTGGTTATTTATTTTCAATAACAGAATTGAAAACTTTCTATTTTCAATTAACAAAAGGTCATCTAATTTTTTTTAACTTTTTTTTATATTTTTATTTTTTTATATTTATTCTATGTTTTCAAGGTTATTTGAATTTATTTGATTTTTGTTTACTTTTTTTTTACTTACAATTATCTTAAATGTTCATTAATCAAAGCAAATAATAACAGTATTTAAAAACTTATCAATATAGAAATTTAATCTTTACATCATTCTAACTCTAAAAAAAGTTTGCATTTGCACAAATTATCGCTTTAACAAAAATAATTATTTTAACATATTATAATTATAATCATTTTCAATGAAGCAAAAAATATAAAGTACAAAATTTGTTGGGCCATTTCATGTAAGAAGAGCCAAACTTTCCCAGGTGACTATCTCAGATTTTCCTGAAATTTACACCCTTATAGGTATTATAGAAAAAAGATTTCCCTAAAATTTCAACTCATTATCTTGAAGCATTCTAAAACTGCAGCAATTTAAAAAATTAATGTCTTTCAAAAAAGTTTCATTTTTGAATCCATATAAATAAAAAACAAATTAAGTACTTAAAAATCAATCTTAAGTACTTAAAAATCAATCTGATGGCAGTAATCTACCTTAACTTTATATTTATATTTTGGCCTTCTTGGACTTCAAAGTTATAAAAAAAACACTTCAAAGAAAAACTTTCAATTTTTTTAAAGCAAATGAAAGCAGAATACACAAGCAAATATGAAAATTATGTTGTTTTTTGAGAGTATAGGTGGTAGTCATCGTTTGTAATAAATTTTGTAATAAACTCAAATGGCTCAAAATGTTATATAATCAATATCTTGAAAACCAATGAACATTTTAACGTAAAAATTTGTTAAATTTTTCTTTTATAACCATGGAATTTAAAAATAACTCAAGAGTTAATTATTTTTAAGTGGGGTTAACAAAAATAGTGGCCAAGTATTACTTCATTTTATGATGCAATTTTTGTCATCATAAAATGAATTTGCATCAGATGTATTCAATATTATTGAATACGTCTGATGCAAATACATTTTATTAATTTTGAAATAAAAATAAATGAAATAAATATTTGTATATTTAGATAAAATAATAAGTATCTAAAGGTTAAAATTAGTAACAAAAAATATTGGAATTTTACTAAATCTTGATTGCCATAAAACTTTGTTTACTCGAATGGCTGGCGAAAGAGTTATTCAAAGATTCACATAGAAAAAAAATGTTTGCATGGAGATGTGATATAACTTTAAATGACTGTAGTTCTATATGTTTTCATCATGAAAAAATGTTCCTTTTACATTATAAAGTTCATAAAACTGCACAAAGGTATTGTTGTGATATAAAGTTCATAAAACTACACAAAGGTATTGTTGTGATATAAAGTGCATAAAACTACACGAAGGTATTGTTGCAATATAAAGTGCATAAAACTACACTAAGGTATTGTTGTGATATAAAGTTCATAAAACTAATTTAGTAAGTAATAGTTTAAAATCTTACAAAACATTTTTTTTTGTAAATATTTTTAAAGTTAAAAATTATTTTGTTATTTTTTGTCAATGCTTGACAAAAAATGATAACAAAAAAAAGACAAAAAATGACAGAAAATGACAAAAAAAAATTGTGATAGACGTGTTTAGCAAGTTTTGTGTTTATACTAAGTTTTATATTTTTTGATAAATATTGTAATAATTGTATAGATTGGTTTTCTTCTTATTTATTTTTTTATCTCTTCGGTCAATCAATGAAGAAACCGAAGAATGAAGTTAAATCAATGAAATCAATGAAGAAACCGAAGAATGAAGTTAAATCAATGAAATCAATGAAGAAACCGAAGAATGAAGTTTTTGCCCGCGTCAAAAACTCTCTAGAGCTAGTTGTAAAAAAGATGAAATCAATGAAAACAATAGAATCAATGTTGAAACCAATATATCATACATTCCGACTGGTTCTGAAATTGGAAATAAAAAATTCAGGGTGTTGGGTTGTTCTCTGTTAAAATCAGTGTCTGTTTGAGACAGACCTAGTTATGGAAAATTAAAGTTTTCAAATTCTTGCCAGACAATAATTTTAAATTATTTGGGAATTTTCAATAATGAAATTTCTATTTGTTGCTCAATAAACAATGAATATTTGAATCGACAGACCAAGATTTATTTTGCGAAGCCATTAAGCAAAAAGTTGCTAAATTAAACAGAATTGAAAAAAAAACAAATATTTGGACAATCCAACAAACAACAGAATACTTTTCTGTACCAAAGTCAATGGTTAAAAAGCGCATAAGCTAAAGGTGTCTAAAGGTATCATAGGAGAGTGTAAAAAAATTACTAAAAATAAGATATCACAAGCACTTAAAACAAATATCATGTGTGGCAAATATTCTCAGAGTTTTCCTGGTAAGACAGAATTTCTTAAAATCCATGGTCAAAAACATCATATCAAAAAAGAATTACTTGTAAATCTAAAAGAGTTACATTTAGAATTTCTAAAAACAAGAGAGAAAATAGAATTTTCAAAATTTTTTCAGCTTTGTCCAAAATGGTGTGTAACAGTAGATAGTGCATCTGATGTGCGTTCGGTTTGTGTCTGTCAAGTGCACCAAAATTCAAATTTGATTACTTATATAGTGCCTAGTAACATTAAATATATAGAAATTTTATCAAAAACAGCATGTGACATTAAGAATAGCAGCTGAATGCTTCATAGTTATGATAACTGCCCTAATGTAGAAAACTCAAAAGAGTATATAAGTGATATCTTCAATCAACATGGTTTCGAGGAATGAGGAGTGGTTAAAAATGGTGAATGCAATTAGTTTGGTAACTTTAGAACTTCTGTTAGAGGAATTTCTTGGAAAAATTGTTTCTGCAATGGAAAACTTGCAATCACACCATTTTATTTCAAAGGCACAGTCCTTATTTCTTCGAATTCGAATTCTACAAAACCAAATAATTATTTTGCTTGATTTTGCAGAAAATTATAGTTTTATAGCACAACATGCAGTCCAAGGATTTCATTGGAATGTTAGCCAACCAACACTACATCCATTCAATATATATTACAAAGATTTTGATAAAATAAACTCAAACAAGCTATTGCATAGTATCTGACTTTATGCAACATGATGTTAATGCTGTTAATGCATTTTTAGCTAGAGTTTTAGAAGATATAAAAATTGTTTTGCCAAATTTGATCTTATGTTATAACTTTAGTGATGGAAGTGTCATCATTTTCAAGACCATAGAATATGTGCAGAGTGGCATTTTTTTGCAACAATTTATGGTAACAGTCCAAGTGATGGCATTGGTGGGACCATAAAACACTTTGTAGCAAGGACTAGCCTGAAAAACAACCAAATATTGTCTGTCACTGAAATGTTTAAGTGGTGTACTGAAAATATAACAGGTATTAAATTTATTAGTATTTCTCAAACTAATATAACATATTATATAGAAAATGCCTAATGAACCTTCTCTAATTCTAAAAAATTTCCAGGAATGCATTCACATCACTGTTTTATACTATGTAATAGTGGGAAGCTAGAAACGTATATCAGATGATGTTTTACAATAGTTAATGCAACTAATAATGAAGAAGGCCGGACTTCAGACCACATAGGTGATTTGCAAGCTGGAATATACCTTGCATGTGTCTATGATAATAAATGGTACATTGAAGTTGTACAAGAAATTGTAGATGATTCAGATATTCATATAAAATTAATGCAATAAAATGGAGTAAACTTTAAATGGACCAGGCTAGAAAAATGTTGGGTTCCTGTTATAAATGTTTTAGCTAAAGTAAATATTGCTGATGTCAATCAGCAAGAAGCTATCAAATTGTTAATTTTCAAAAGCTATCAAATTATTAATATTCTGAGGAAAAATTTAAAGAAATATTATTAAGTTTTGAAATTTTTAACAAAAATATTTAGACTATTATCTTGAAAACAAGATTTATTATTTATAATTTTATTTTTTACATTCTTTTATTGTAAATGAGACTTATGTCTTCGTTTTTTTTTTTTTTTTTTCCTTCTTGAGTTTCTAATTTATTCATATATATTGGAAAAATATAAGTCTTTATGTACAGATATCTTTATTTTAAAATCTATTTTTAAATTCCTTGTTTAAAAATAAATCAACAAATTTTTACATTAAAATATCGGTTTTAAAGGTATTGACTATATAACAAATTTAAAATGGCCGATTTTGAATTCCAGAATCCTATTATGATAGAAAGATCAAATATCTCAATTTTTATTTTTTCAACAGTTGAAGTAGATTACTGCCATCAGATTGGCTTTTAAGTATTCATGATAATTGTCTTTTTATTTATATTGAAAATGAGACTTTTTTGAATAAGGCAATAAATTTCTTGCCATACTTTTAGAATGCTTCAAGATAATGAGTTAAAATTTTAGGGAAATCTTTTTTCCCATAAAACCTATGAGGGGTGTAAATTTCAGGAAAATCTGAGATGATCACCCGGGAAATTTTTAGAAAATTAGCTCATCTTATATGAAATGACCCTGTTAAACTAAGTTAAAGAAAATCTTTAACTTAAGTTGGCAATTGTAGGAAAATATTTTTTTTTTTAATTAAAAAGTTATCAAATATTGTAGATAATTTACAAAAAATCAAATATTGTGGATAATAAAAAAAAGTAAATTTTCGTACAATGTTTGGTAAAGTATGAAGATGTTTAAGTATAAAAGCAATAATCATTAATATAAAAAAGAGGCAATAAAATTGTAAACAGTAAAAGCGGGAAAGCTCAGGAAACCAGTTTACCCTAGTAACCTGTTGACTATTAATGATATATTTTTATATTTAAAATTTTGTTTTATATACTTATGTATTATGAATGTATTACATTTTAATGAGGTATTGATATAAAGATATTGAAGATCGTTTTTTTTTTTTTTTTTTTTTTTTTTTTTTTTTTTTTTTTTGCATATAAAGCAATCAGTTATTCATTAATTAAAAATTAACTAATAACTGATTAAAAATTAAAAAAATCAAATAGTAAATTTGATTTTTCCAATTTTTTTTTTTTGTTTAATATTACAATGTTTAAGATACAAGTACAAATATACAAGCAAAAAATTGCAAGTGAAGATATTGTAAAAATAAATTAATTAAAAATATCTAAAGAACACAGATACTCAAAGAAGACCATTGGGTCTTGTCACAGAGGTCCGCTGATGAAAAATCATATTGATCTCATATCTCATATTGACTGGAATGTTCAGAAATGGTGAACTGTCCTGTTCAGTGATAAATCGAAGTTCAACATCATTGGGAGCGATGGCATTTGCCGTGTATGTCAACCGGCCGGAAAACGTCTTGATTTAGGTTACTGCCATAAGACCGTGAAGCATGGTGGAGGCAATGTAATGATCCAGGGGTGTTTTTGTGCTAACGTTCTAGGTCCAATACATCGAATCGATGGAATAATGGACCGTTTCTTGTATAAAAATATCCTGAAAGATGTTAAGTTACCTCATGCTGAATGGAATATGCCAATAAAATGGGTTTTTCAGCAAGACAACAATTTAAAACACACTGCAAAAGTAGTCAAGCAGTGGTTTCAAGACAACCACCTATCGGTGATGGATTGGCCGCCTCAATCTCCAGATCTCAACTGTATCGAGAACCTGTGGGAGATTGTCAACCGCAGAATTAATTGTGAAGGTGTTTGTAATAAGGATCAGCTGTTTGAGCAAATGCAAAAGGCCTGGGCAGCAATTCCACAAAGTTTCATTAATCACCTGATCGAGTCTATGCCTCGAAGATGCAAGGCTGTGATCAACAACAAAGGATTCGCCACGAAATGTTGATAGCAAAATACAGCTTGGTCAACATTTTGTAGAGTTGCACTTGTTTTGTTCGGAAGGGAAATCAACTTTAATACTTTTGATTAATTTATTAATTTTCGTGTACAAATAATGAACTTTGTGATGAATAAAACTTGAAGAGCATTGTCTCTAAACAGTTACATAGTTATTTCTCTAAATTAAAAAAATGCAGTACTTTAATATAAAGAAACTAAATTAGCATTATTTGGTTGCACTTGTTTTGTCCGATACTGTACATATTTAGTTACATCGCTGCATAAAAAATAAAAAAGTAAATTCTTTAATTTTTAAAAATTCAAAAATATATCATCAGTAGATAAAATGATGTCATTAAGCTTTTTTTTTGAATAAGAGGTAAATCCATTCTAAAGAAAAATCAAAATGTTGTAAAACTATTTTGTTCCAATGAGAAACTCCATTCCAAAGAAAAATAAAAATGTTTTAAAACTATTTTATTCCAAAGAGAAACTCCACTAAATGAAATGCTCGATTTTCCAAATTAGTTTGTAAAAATGGTTGACTTGAATTGTTTAATTGTTTAAAAAATGGTTGACTTAAATGGTTGAATTAAATTATCATTTCTTAAATTGTATTTATTTCAATTTTTAAGGTATATAAATTATGGAAAGAGACTGGGTTGGAGTTTTACATTTGTATATAAAACAAAAAATATTAAAAACATTTAGCTGATTTATATCAAGAATTTTAATTTCAAATGAGGAGCTTGGCATAAGTAAATCTATCTTTAAAATTAATAAGACAAGCAAAATGCTTTTTAATTAAGCAAATTACATCAAGAAATAAAATGTGTAAAAGTGTGTATTATTTTTAAAAACATATATATTTCTATCAAAAAAAATTTATGTAACAAAAATCCTCAATTAATTGCTTCTAAACAACTTCATCTAAAACAAATATTAGTTAAAACAAGTTTCAGAAAAAGAGTTTTTAGTCTCATGATATCAAGCAGCTAGTTAAAAGTTTTTTTATGCCTTCAAATAATTATCCTTTTCTTCAAGCTTTAATCAAAATATTTTCATCAACTTTTTTATCAAAATATTTATTGACCATCAAACTTTTTTCTTTTGTTTATCAAGTTTCTCCAAAAAAAAATTTATTAATCAATAAACTAATTTATTTTTTTAAGCTTTTTTAACATTTTTGTTGAAGTGTATATGGCTAAAACTACCACTAAATTTTTTGTTTTTGTTTTATTGACAACTTTTGTTTTCTAATCATTTTATTTCTTGCCAATTGTTACAAATAGACAGATTTGTTAGTCCTTGGCCTCAGCCTCGCATAAAGGCCATAAATGAAGGCCTTTGCCTTAAATATTTTGGCCTTGGCCTTGATTGTTTTGGTCTTGGCCTTCAAAAAAAATTTTTTTGAAATTTTTTTGAAATTTTTTTTTAAGGCTTTTATATATATCTACGAGTATATTTTCTTATTGACTTCGTTGAATTCTGTGCATAACCTTGGTTTATTTTTATTGTCACATGTAGTTTTATTGTCACAGCAATTGTTACCTATAGATTTGGTAATAATTGGCCTTAACATAAGGCAAAAATTTAAATCTTAACATAAGGCAAAAAATTTAAGTCTACAAAATGTTTGTGTAGGCCTTGGCCTTGAAACTTTTATTCTTGGCCTTGACCTTGAAACTCTTGTCCTTGGCCTTGTCCTTGGTTTTGTATCTTTTGGCCTTGGCTTTAATCTTGGCCTTGTAACATCCCTTTAGCAAGGATTGGCCTGGCTACATTTGGCCTTAATAACAACTCTACAAATAGATATAAAAATTGCAACATCATTATAAACTCAAAACTTAAATATCATTACCATCTACAAGTTTAAAAACACCCAATCTAAACAGAAACACCCAATCCATGTTTTTCATAAGTGTGTGCTTTGTTTATTGAGTCAAGTCCTCAGTAAATTTGTTTTATGTTATGCTTTCTATAATCTCTGTGCATAACTATCTTTACAAATATGATTCCCACAAATAGGTAATTCAGCTAATGTGTCATGGCTCACTTCATATGTAAAATGTATATTGTTCAATCTCCACCACACCCCTAGTCATACCCCACTCAACTTGCTTCTTTATTCAACAGCCTTGGATTGAAAGAGGTTTGTAATTACAATTGAAATATTTCAAATACAATTTTTGAAGATTCAAAAATTTTAAGCATAAATGATGAAACAAATAAAAAATCTATTCTAATGCTTTGAAACAAAAGAATGATGGAAAAAAGATGTTAAACTTCAATCAAATAAATTGACTTATATATACTGCTGAAATAAACTGCTTGAATAAGTAAGGTTTAAAAAATTATATAAATGCACTTATTTGAGGATTAATGATTTTAAAAGATATTGACAACAAAAATTTTAAATGATGTTTTAATTTTAGTATTTGTTGTTTTTTATAAATATTAAATTTGTAATAAAATTTTAGATTGACTTTAATGCTTTTATCTTATCATCCACATTTTGGCCAACTTTTTCAGATGAGTCTGTAGATCCACCAGAAGAAGTAAAAAGGTAAACTATTTTGATGTTTTGAAAAACATGTTATAAAAAAAAAGTAAAAATAGAAATATTTTTTGTTATTTCCACATTTAATATTTTCTTTAATCTATAGCTTTACGAGGTAAACCAATTTTGAATTGAATGATTAATTCAGTTAAATGATTTTGAAGCTGGATAGTAGCAGGGTTTCTCTGTGGAGTAACCTAACTTCCCCTTCCCTATATATGCATGTGTAAGTTCTTCTCCTTTTGGACATGGTTCTGGATGGGGTACAGCTTGCTACCTTTTTCCATGGCACCATTTCACATAATCTGATAATCTAACTTTGAAACCTGAATATAAAAGTCATTGAAATTTATTGAAAAGACAAAAATTTTTTGCACCTCTAATAGACTCTTAATGTCCACAACATAACTAAAAGTAATTGTTTAGTTTAATAGCATTAAATAATAATAAAATAAATTAAATATTATTTTCATTTGTTTCTTTAAATTATTACCCATCAAATCTAGAATTTTAGTAAAAACATTTTTTTTCAGAGTTACTAAAACAAATCAAACTTAATGAAACTCTGAAGATTCTTAATAATGATTGAAGCACAAATCATAAAAGTTTTTCAAATAAACATCTATATACAGTTATATACAGTCATATTTATATTACAATTAAGCAATTAACTTAAAGTTGGAAAAAAACTTTAAATGACAACAAACAAATAACTGTTTAAAATAAAGAACTACTTGTAAGCCAAGTTATTACCAAGTGTATAGTTGTCATATAAAAAAATTTCTTATGGAAGGTACAATCCATACAAAGCATTTTTCATTCTAGTTAAGGTTAATGAATTATAAAATTTCTTTAAAGAAGGAGAAACAACTGAAGATAGTAATAATAAGATAAACTGAAATAAAAAGGGAGGACAGAAAGATAAAAATCACAATTTTGTAAGATCCAATTGAAATTAAGTAATGAGCTAATGTAGGTGAAGCTCCATCCTCAGGGCTGCAATATATTCAACAGTGTTTCATAGAGTCTGATCAAAAATGACAATGGCAGAAAATATATACACAATAAATATAATAGATATAAACAATAATATACAATACATAGTACATACAATATACAATACATAGATATACATATTAAAATGTCAAGACCACATAATACAAAATTATTCATTATGTAATAAACAAAAAATAGAAATATAAGTATCATATTCCATAAGCAAATATAAATGTAATTAAATTAGTAAGAGCCATATTTTATAACAATTGAAAATAAGTTCTCAGAGTAGCTGATTCCATCAACAGTTGTAAAATATTACAGTATTACATAGTACTATCTGTGTTGTGTTGTGCACAGATGTTGCCATGTTGCCTTTTTTTTTGTTGTGATTTTTTTCTGCATTGTAACGTTCATATAAAGAGCCTTTTGTTATGACTGTGTGCTTATTAACAAGAATTAGGTAACTGCATAGGTTATTGCTTAAGGATGTAGGTACTCTTTAAGTTTGAATCTGGTTTTTTCTAATAACTCTGGCCAATAATTTATAAAAAGTTTTTTGCATTACAAAGAAAATCAAGGAAAGAACCCCAGTCAGCTTCTAGGTAGTTGTGAGAGGTACAATGATAAGGGGATTGCGATGATGAAGAAGAATGAGTTAATAATTTGAGAGAGATCAATCTGTGATCAGAGGCACCTAAGGTTGAATGTGGAGAAACTGAGCACTGACTAGGATCAGAAACAAGACATGAGTCGAATCGAGAAGGTAAATGATTTAGATTGTCTGCAAAACGAGTTGGAAAGTTGGAAAGATTTGTGCTAGAGGTTAAGAAAGACAAAAATTATGGGCCTTAATGTCTGCAGAGTCACTGTACTAGAACCAATCTAAACAGTTTTTACAACTTTAATCATCATTAAAGTCGCCAAAAACAACGATATTGGCTGAAGGATAAAGAGAAAGGTCTTAATCAATTTGATCAGAAATAACATCAAAAGGATTGCATTCTTGAGATAAGCGATATAGAACAAAAAGAAAGGTGATAGAGTGAAGTGGTGCTAAAAGCACATAAAATCTATGGATTCAGGGTTAGGGTTAGGCTTAACCTAGTTTCTAGTAAACCTAGTTTTTTGAAAAAATGGGCGAGTTCTTACAAATGTAAATGCTAAGGCCAAGCATGTGGCTATTGGAGTCTTTACAAATCAAAGGAAGATAGCATCAACAATAAGATTGCAAGATGAAACAGCTGAACTCAAATAAGTCTCACAAATAGCAAGTAGGTCTGGTGAACTTTGCAAGAGATAAGACTCAACAGAAGAAAATTTACTTCAAAGACCATTAATATTAGTGATTGATAGATTTAGAGAACTTGGTGATGACGATGGTTTTTTTTGTTTTATAGTTTTTGGTACTTTAGTCCTTTTGAAACTTGTTAAAGGTTTTGACTAAAAACATAGGTAGTACTCAGTACACTATTTATTAGTCCAAGCAATTGCCTCACTACTAATTATTAACCCTTAACTGTAACGAAGGACTCCAAATTCGGACTTGACGATGCAAACCAAAAGTATGAACAAAGACATTATCCATGCACAACATGGCACTGTTAGTACACTGATATTTTATAGCTGTTGATAAATCAGCCTCTCTGAGAGCTACCACAGAGTTTGGAATACCTCACTACCAGCCAGCCTCAGAACTATAAAACTGAGTTTTAAAGCTGTACCCTTATTAGGAGATAATTGAATGAGTTGTGTAGTCATAAAAACAGAGACACAAGCAAAACCTCAAGAAGATCCACCATTCAACATCCTAAACTGGAAACAATGTATTAAAAATACATGTGCGCCAGCCTAATAGATGAAGAAGGGGTGCGAGGATGGTTAACAGATAGAATCTGTTTACCCCTTAAGTCTTTGCCTAGGAGGCCTTTTACAAGATAGTAGCCCTGCATCTATCTATTTCAGTATGACATCATCAGTGTACATCTAATGCTGCATTTATATGTGATTTTTGAACTTAATAGTAACTAGTAAAGTTTTATTTGAAAATTGGTTTATATATATATATATATATATATATATATATATATATATATATATATATATATATATATATATATATATATATATATATATATATATATATATATATAAACCAATTTTCAAATAAAACTTTACTAGTTACTATTAAGTTCAAAAATCACATATAAATGCAGCATTAGATGTACACTGATGATGTCATACTGAAATAGATAGATGCAGGGCTTCAGTACATACATCAACTATCTTATAGCCTGCTGTCTGTAGGAATGCTGCAACATCAACTGAGGGTTTGGGCTGGAGCAGCATTCTTTTAATTCATTATTTTTTGTTTTTTCTTCTTTTTCTGAAACAATAAAGGACAAATTTTATGAATTAAAGCGCAAAAAATTTATTAGGAAAATACTTCCTAAGGTAATAATAGTCTTCTTAAGAACTGTTTGTGATAACAAGAAAAATTAGGCATTTTGGTTATTCCAATTTCAACAAAATAGTTTTATATGACAGCATTAAGAATTTTTTTATCAATTTGAATAGAAGATGTAATTATATATAGATATTTTAATCTAAATTTTTGTTGATTAAAAGTTTTGATTTAAAAAATTATTTTAAAAACAATTTACCAAACCCAATAATAGTTTTAACAAAAAAAAATTTTGAGTGAACCAAAATCTACTCTGGTGGTATCAGGGAGTACAAATTACTTAAACGTTTAAAAAAGAAAAGAAATAAACTAAAGAGTATTAGTTTTTAATAACTTTTGCAATTTTCAGTTTTATATTTTCAATTAAAAATTTAAAACAAGTATTTTATTGTAGAATTCAAACTTGAATTCTTTAATCGAAAATGGACTCTGAAAACCAGTGCTTAATAAAAGAAAACCTGAAAACCAGTGCTGCTTAATAAAAGAAAACCTGAAAACCAGTGCTGCTTAATAAAAGAAAAATCATGCACATCTAATTTATTAGAAACTTCAGATTTATTAGAAAATTCAGATATTTCTTCTCATTCTTAGACTGCACAAAGACAAACTTATTTAATATAGATTTAGCTTTTGGAATCAGTACCTCACAAAAAATAATAAGTTCAATAAATTTCATAAAAAACTATTACAATGATGAAACACAAAGGATGGTTTAGGGAGGAGGGGGGGTATTTCATGGAATGCTGTTCTTTAAAGAGTTCTAAAAAGATCAGTTATTTTTCTGTTCATATTAAGAATATATGTAGTTAAATAAAAAATAATTTTAAACTATATATTGATGACATTAATAATAGGATGTGAATATCAATTTCAATGTTTATATAAAGTCCCTGTACCCTTACTGTCCTGATTTTTTTTTTGTCAAAGTAATATATAATTCTCTTAACATTTTTGGATCTCTGAGTCATAGACTAGAAATAAGTAGTGAATTTATGACATTCACTACTTATTCATAGACTAGAAATTTACATTTACATTTCTCATTTGAAAACTATAAAAAATATTTTTTTTTTAATTAATTTCAGGAAAATCTATATGTATTGTTAATTAATTTCAGGAAAATCTATATGTATTGTGCAAGAAGCTGCTGCAGAAACCTGGTTAAGTAATATTCATAAAGAATACTCGGCTGGACCTTACAAATACAAATTTAAAGTCAAAACTACTTTTCCACAGCACATGTTTAATAATAACTTTATTTTTACAGTTTTAAGTGAAAGATGGTGGGTTACTTGGAAGAACTTTTCTCAGTTCTTTCAAAGATGCTTTTTCTTATCTTAATATTGAAAAGTGTATTGTAAATGTAGTTGGTTCCTCTCTTTCTGTCAAGCTTTAGCCATTATCCCATCACAAAAATGTTGCTTCTCTTTCTAATTTCTACATATACTATCATGGTTGCTGCTCAAAAGAGCCATCTATCAACCAAAACTCATTGCTTGATTCGTCATTCAGCAAAGTTGCATCCTTTTACTGTATCTGTACCTTC